TTTCATTTTTAGATCAATTCAAACGATTATACAGTAAAATTGTGGGGTACTTTCAAAAATGGAATAATCAAATAAGGGAAATTTCACTTTGATTTGTTTAATTGTTAATATTATCACGATAATCTATTGAGTGATAAAAGACAAAAATATTCTTAAGTATAGTATACAATTACAAAAGATGATTTATTTTTTTTTAAAAGACATTACTATTCTTTAATTAACAAATAAAAATTAAACACAATATCAAAATCAGCAAATGTCTCATATCTGTTTACTCCAATACAGATAAAAACACTCTCATCTTTCATCTGCTTTAACATCAAAATCTAAAAAATTCATCAAACATCGTAGTTGAAATTTTTTTATATCAATCTCATTAGATCAGTAAGTTTAAAATAAGCACATTTAATTTTATTTTCGTTAAATTATTTTATATTTTAATAGATGAAATTTATTTCGACATATAATGTTAATGTAGATAGTTTTTTTAATAGATCTGTGAAAAATTTAAGCATTTGACGAGAAAAAATTCATCTGCATATACTGAAAAATTAATCTGCAAAAATTTGGTGTGTTTATTCTGTCGGACAGCCAAATTTGAATTGCCAGCTATCCAGTCAACTGTTGAAAAAAGTCGGTCGGGTATTATTAGCCGGTTGTTTGCCGGCTGGATAGCTGACAGGAAAGATGGCTATTTCTCAACAGCCGACTGAAACAGCCGACTTTTTTTTATTGCCTTCGATATTTTCTTGCAATTAATGATTCTTTTTCGTCATGCAAATATGGTTGTAGTCTCAGTTTGTTACTTTGGTGATTTCGAATTAAACGAAAAATATCGGTGGGTATAGAAATGGACGAGCGATAAATGTCACATTATCCCAATTTCCGTAACAGAAACAACATCGTATGCAAAACTCTATAATATTTTACAGAACAAGCTAAATGTCAATATCTCTCAATATGACATGGAACTGAAATTTAAATTTAGCAATCACGAAGTTTCGAGTCCATCTATGACGATTTCTTCTGATGCCGAAGTGAATTATTAGTTTGAAATGAACAATAGGCACTCAACTCCTGTTTGCATGACTTTAGTGAGGAAGGATGTCGTCGAAAATGCACAAGTTGACTCAGATGGAGGGGATTACAATACTAATAATTTTTGGGGTATGGTCTAGATAACTCGTGAAGATGATGCAGTTATTCCAAAGATAACTTCATAGAATTTTGTTCGTAGTTCACGACAATGAGTGTGAAAATACAAATACTTTTATAGACGAGAATTTGACCGCTTTATCCCGGCAGAGACATAAGCTGGGTGGGACCTCAGGGGCTGGATCGAGTGGACCGTCCTCTAACTCCTCGCGTATGGTTCCCGATAGTGAGAATTTGTATGTCTAGCTTTGCAGGAAGCTGTACACCTAATTGCGCTGAAAATACAACTTTAAGTTTAAAGTGAAAAAATCAAACAAGTCGTCGTTGACAATCGCCGCGTAGACGACAGTTGCTGTTGGCGTTTGCGAACGACGAAGATGAACACGAATGAGTGCTTCGTAGTTCATAAATACACACGGAAACATACTTGTGAAGTGGGATTACATTGAAATGATCACAGGTAAGCCCGAACTTGGTTTATTGGTCGACAGATAATGTACAAGTATCATGATTCACGTACAATATATAGATGATCAGACATCATTAACGATGTCCATCGAGAGTACGGAGTAGTCTTGAACTATTAGAAGGCCTGGAAGGCCAAAGAATGCGCGTTTGAGAATTTAATGGGCTCTGCAAAGGAAAACTATGCTAAATTGGCCAGGTATTGCCATAACATGAATAAAACTAATCGTGTTCGGAATTTTTTATTGAGATGGAGGGTAGGAATTGCTTCAAATTCTTTTTCATGGCTCTTAGACAAATGCATTCAAAGATTTCGAAATACAATGTGATCTCTAATTCTAGTTGATGGTACAACACTGAAATCTAAATATCAAGGTAAGTTGATTATTGCTACATGTCAAGATGCCAACATCCAAATTTACCATCTTGCGTTCGGCATAGTCGATAGTGAGAATGACCTATCGATGCGGTGGTTCTTCATAAAGTTAAGGAAAGTAATCGAAGAAGTCAAGGACCTTGCATTTGTAATCGATTGGGGACAGCCTTTAATTAATGGTATCGTTGAAATTTTTCCAGATGCACATCATGGTATTGCATATACCATATTCAAGGCAATCTAAAGACCAAGTATCCCGCAAAGGTCGATCGTTTCATTGTTCAGGAGAGCGGCTGAAGTCTACAGTGTTGAATAGTGTAATGAGTTCATGGTTGAAATACGAAGTAAATCATTCGATGCATGGGATTATCTAACGAAAATGGGGATTGAACATTGGGCGAACTCGTTTTTTCCAGGACGTCGATACAACATGATGACGTTAAACAACAGGAGTCTCTCAATGTATTATTCAAGAAGGATCGAGAATTACCCATCCTTGCACTGATTGAGAATATTCGTACCAAACTACAGTAGTGGAATCACAGAATTGCACGAGCGTACTAGCCTCAGCGCAAGAGGAAAGGCTATTCAAAGCTATAGAACTTGTGACATAGTTGAATGTCAACCACTAGACAAGTCGCACTTCTCAGTTGAATGTGTATGTAATACGACATACATGGTGGACTTGACTGATAACACATGCACTTGTAAAAAATTTCAGTTGGAGACTATTCCAGGTGAGCATGTAGTCGCGATTGCTATGTGTCGAGGATTTACATCTTGAACATTGTGCTCTCATTATTACACAAATAATTATTGGAGAGCTGCATACGCTGAGACAATATTTTCTCTGTCGAACGAAGTTGAGTGGGAAGTCCAGACCATATTCGGCCACTCAATACATTGTTCTACTTCTCAATAAATCGCGTGGTCCTGGACGTCCAAGTACGTCTAGAATACCATCTATCGGAGAATTTTCTCGATCGTGTAGGTGCAGCTAGTGCAAATTCATAGGGTATACTTGCCAATATTGTACAAGTCATGTTTCTCTAAATGAAAAGTTAGATCATTTGGTAATGTTGTCCATTTGAAATAAACATTATTTGCATTTATTCTACGATATTTCAAAGAACGTTGTAATTTAATAATCAATTACAGTGTTTACAAACATTTCGTAACTACAAAAAATCAATATTTACAGTGTTTACAATTATTTCATAATTACAAAAAATTACAACTAATAATTACAATAAATTTATGGATCACCATTAAAGTAGAATAAGTCGCACGCCGACTTATTCCGCTAACTCTGTATCCAGGATTGGTTGATTCCATCAACCTTATGTGCTATTCTAAAAAATACGATGTACTTTATTGCATAAATGGCACAATCATTCCTGCAAATGAATAATAATGGGTTAGATCAGTACCATGCAGCAAAAAAACTAAGTATTAAATTTTTAAAATTTTAGAACCACTTAAAATATTGTCTGCCTCGCCGTCGTTGTGTTCCGCACGACGGCTAATCTGTCATTCACAGTCAATCCCGTCTATCTAGCCATCATAGGGACAAAAATAGCAATGGACTCTAGATTTTGCTCGAGCTGACCCTGGGTCAAACATGAATGATCGGGGTCGTACACATATATAGTAGTCTCAGCGGACATAATCTCCAAAGCTATACAGTGATGATTCACAATCACTGGTATGTACATATGTGTACAACCCTCCCATGGCTTCCCCTTCTCACGTGGCCACATCCCTATGTTCTATTCGAGCATGTAGTCGGGCACCGCGTACTCCTTGGCATGTTGGAGCGATTGGTACTCAATGTCAACGCTTCGTTCGAACTCCAAATTTAGTATGACTTGGCCAGGACTGTCAAATGACCCCGGATATCTTTGAACCCGATCACGCAACAAGTCCATGGTCAGGTCAATGTGCTTTATTAAGAAATAGCAATACAAAAAGGAGTTATTTTATTGCATAAACAAACAATGATATACAAGTCATAAAAAATAACAATATGACTAGTTCACTTACATTGTCGACAAGCCAAGCTTCAAAAGTGATGATGTCCTAGAACCACTTATAAACATCAGTGATCGTCGTAGTACTAATCGTACGGCTAGTCCTGAAAAAAGAAATAGAGAAATGTTAAAGAAGCATATACGAGTAACGTAGTGTATTTTACTGATATCATGAATACTAACCCGGGCAACATTCTCCACTCCATCTCGAACGCTTTCCATTTGGGATGGTCTATCTCCCAAAATAGGTTGGGGATCGCCCCATCGTTGAACATCCTCCTCTTTGTCTCAACCGTAAAGGGAGAGACAATGTACCGTGATGGCACTCTCAGTCTCTTCCCTACCACCGCTCCGGAACGTCAACATCACACTTTTTCGCCTTAGTCATGGCGGTCGTCCTCCCCTTGTCCACCTCGAGGATCACCCTCTTTTCCACGCTTACCTCCTTCTCCATCCCCGTCGTCACCACCTCCTCGACCACAGCTCCCGTTCCCTCGTTGGCACCACCTCCTCGACCGTCGCTCCCATCCCTGAAGAGGCCACCCCTTCCTCGGCCCTCGGTGCCATCCTATCCTCCATGAATTGAAGAAAGGATTTCAATACATCCTCCAACCACGACTGATGGTGACCCCCATTTCTATCCTCCTCTCAATCAACCCTCGGTCGTCACCTCCGTCACACCATCGTCTGCCTACTATATTACCTCGGAGTTCTATCACCTCATTCTAAAGGTCCCCTAAATGTCCACGCACCACTCTAACATCATCAGCTATATCTTCGACTCTCCCGACCAATTGGCGTCCCAGATTGTTGACCCGCTCCACCATATCTCGACGTAGCGCATCGACCTCCACCGATATGACTCCTAACAGCTCTCGACGCAACGCACCGACCTCCCCTGATATAACTCCTACCGGCTCTCGACAAAGCGCGCCGATCTCTTGCACCATAAATCCAGTCAAGCGATGGTACAAATCATCAGAATAATCACCCTGAGGGGGAGGAGGTAATCCAGACGGCGGAGGTGATGCTCGATCAACTGGCCATCTTGGGTGTGCGAAATCGCTATTTCATGCACAAGACCCTATGCCTCCTTCTCCATCGACGGTGTCAAATGATTTATTACTTCAAACTGACATATTGACATTTTAAAAAGATAAAATCAAGTAATGAGATTTTAAACTATGTAGAATATAAATTACAATAGAGAATGATTAGCAAATAACTTCAGATAGTCTACAAGTTGATGTAGAAGTTCCAATCAAAGTACGGGCATACCCACTCACATTTCCTCAAAGGTTGAAAAACACCAAGTTAGAGAAGCAGTTATAAAGTTCTTGTACATCTTCAAAATGCTGCATGTCAACGTCCCTTTAATTGATGCGGTCCTTCAAATTTCAAACTACTCTAAGTTCTTGAAGGAAATGTTGAATAAGAAGAGGAAGCTACCTGAGCATGAAACAATAGCTTTCTATGAAGAATGTAGCATGATCATTCAACGCATGATCCCTCCCAAACTTAAAGATCCAGGTAGTTTCATTCTACCTTACTCTAAATGAAATTTACAACGTATTAATTGTTTAATCGATTCAGGAGCAAATATTAACTTAATTGCTTTTCCTCTTTACAGGAAATTGGGATTGAGAGATCCTAAGACTGTTTTTATTATCGTTCAGCTTGCGGATAGGTCACTGAAACATCCCTACGGAATAGTTGAAAACACGCTCATCAAGGCGGTGGAGTTTATTTTTCTAGCTGACTTCATCAACCTCGACATAGAAGAAGCATATCAGATGCCAATAATCTTGGAAAGACCATTTTTGTATACAGGCTGAGCTTCGTTAGATTTTGATACTAATGAGATAATTCTAATGGTTGAAGATGCCAAAGAGTTGAACACTGGGAGAGCTACAAAGGTAGGTGAGATGAAGGTGGAATTGTTGGTAAGGACAGCGATGAAAACTTGATCTTGTGGAGGACGAAAGATGAAAGAAGGAAGTGCCATCAGTGCATAAAATGTAGAGCTAAAAATTCCTTTTCAAGCCACCATGAAAAGCCAAAAAATAACAAAATTGATGTGTTGAAGCAATAAAAAATAAGAAGAATTCATATTTGCTGATGTGTCAAAAAATAACAAAATTGATGTGTTGAAGCAATAAAAAATAAGAAGAATTCATATTTGTTGATGTGTTGAGCTGTAATTAGTAACATCGAACCAAATTAGAAAGGGTGAGGGTTGGTATTTTTTTTAAAATTTCAATCTTAGATCACACTTTGGGTAAGAGTGAAAAGAATGAAGTTTTGGAGTGTGCATTTTATGAGTCACGAAAGGAAATATTTGGCCACAGAGGGTCGAGAAGTGAATCAATTTATAACTTTGTGATGCTTTACACGAATCTTCACACACACATCAGTTTTGCATAGCATAGGCAGAGATTAATTTGACATCGTGATTTTGAATTACTTTATGGTTTCGACTCTGAAAATCCAATCTTGAGGCAAAAAGCAGATCATCCAACTAGTTGTTCATAGGAAGTTTTGTGTAGTTAAACTTTATTTTGTTTAAAGACAACACAATTGTTCAAATTTGGGGATGTTTGATAAATGTATTTATTACACTTATCTTAGTCGTTAAACTAGAACAATTATTGTTATTTAAATGAATTGAGGCTTAATTTTGTATATATTTCATTTATTAGGTGCATATCGATGAAAAATGATGGTAGTTGACAAAATAAGCAAAAAATTGGCAAAAATGGATTGAATCCAAAGTTTGGGGACTAAATTGAAAAGTGATAATAGTTGATTCGGACCCAATATTGATGTTTGGAGAAGTATGGATTCAATTAGAGGAACTATAAACATAAAAAAGAGTCAAAATGAATGAAAACCAAAATTGAGGGATCAAAGTATAACAATTGAAAAACTTTTATATAGCGCGCACAAGTGTTTCAAGTAGCGCTTGCGGTACCTCATTGCTTGCATACCGAGAGTAAAACAACAAAGTGGCACTCGCATAGTGAAATGTGTGGTGCGTGTGCAGAGGGCAAATTCTGGGCCGACGGGCCCAGACTCTGTTTTCAACCTAAATTCTTATAAAAAGAAAATTCAACATACTATTTAAGCAAGAGGAGATGGCTTGAACTCGGAGAACATCAATATACATATTTTTTTGTCAAAAGGAAGAGGCTAAAGAGGTTCTATGGCTATTAACACCAGAGACTGAAGATTCAAAGTTCGGGCTGAAGATTAATAAGAAGAAATTGATTTTTCACTTTCTAATCACTATTTTCAATTCCAGGTGATGTTTTTCCAATTCTTTTTGTGTGATTTGTTAAACAATATCCTAGGCTAATCATTTTCATGTATTGGATGAAGATGAAATTTTTTATTATTTATTTTTCATTTGAGACACATGGCTTAGTTTAATTCTTGCAAATTTTTATCAATCTTGCATGCCTAATTTTATTATTTGATTGCTTGATCACCAATTGAATATATAGTTGCATGTTGTATATTGGTAGGTTCACAATAGATTTAGAACACTGCTCGATTAACACACCAAAAATTGTTTACAACTACCATTTATAGTTGCTGTGTCAACTACATACAAATTTTTATATCAATTATGCTAGATAATCAGGGCCAAGTTGGCCATGTGCAACCACCCTGGATGGACAGAGCAAACGTGGCCCTTTCCATCTAGAATAGTCCTTTTTATATGTTTAGCTGTTTTGAGTCAACAATAGGAGAGATTGTGTTGAGCATTCATGGTAACTTTGTTATCAAATAATAAAGTTGGGAAAAAAATTCTTGATGCATTCTTTTTTGTCTCTAATCTTCTATATTCTTGTTGGTAATTTTATGATATTTTGTGCAAGTCTTATGAATATTTAGGTTGACTATGCGTGAAATCTAAGTGCCATGGCATGCTATTTTTATTTGATGTTTGAACCATGTGACTTTATCCATTGGCACAGTGATTTGATTTGCCAAAAGCAAAAGCAGGGGCACACTTAAATGATAAAAATAAAAGCTAAAAGGCGAAAGAGCAGAATGAAATAGGAGTGAAAAGACAGTGATGTAGTATAGCCTGTTTTAATTTAGCAGTTTTAATGAAAAATATATTGGTTAACTACAAAATCTTCAAGTTTGCCTATGTTTTATTTAGTAATTTATAATTTTCAGTCAACTAAAACATTAGTTTCCATGACGCTGTCATAATCAATAATTACACATTTCGTTTCATCAACACTATTTCTCCTGATAAGGTACTAAGAATTTTATTCGAGCAGGTTAAAAAGATCTGTCCAAACTACAAATGGAATAAAAAAGATTATCGAACTAGCTACTAATGCTATAAAATACACGTATGATAAAGCTTAAAAAGGTGCTTAAAAGTAACTTTCTTAGAAAGTATAAAGCTTGGTCAAACTTGTAAAAATTAGCCCTTTGTCACAGATTAATCACAGCTCTGCTGTGCGTCCGGTTCTCATTTTTGCTCCTAGATTGCCTGCAGCTTCTGAAACCATTTCCTTGGCAGCTTCATATTTTTCTTTAGCCTCATCAATCATGGAATCCTTTGCAAACATGTAAGTATCATGTGCTTTCGATTTGGCATCCTCGTACCTATCAAAACTGCTGTCTTTGCCACTGGATATTGCATCTCCCATTGCCTCTTTAACACTCGCCTTGGCATCGCTTGCCATGTCTGAACCTTGTTCATAGATTGACCTCCTTTATCATAGGCATCGTTTCCCATTTCCGAAGCTTTATACATCATGTTGTGTCCCTTCTTCAAAGCAGTATCATAGGCTTCTTCCGCCTTTTCTTTTATAGTGTCTTTTGCGTTATAGGCCATATCTGAAACCTTATCCATTGCTTCACTCACCTTATCAGAGGCAAATTCATAGGTATCATGAGCTTTATCCCTTCCGCTTTCGGCCATATCAGATGCCATATTAATTTCTTGTCCCTCCTTTGAAGCATAAATCTTTGTGCCACTGATTTTCTCGGATGTTGTGTCTGCTGCATCATTCGCCTTCTCAGAAGCATACTTCGATGTTTCTGCAAGCATTTATCAGCAACAAGAGATGTTTACGTTTCTTGTTGTAAAATAAAATAAAGAGAAATCTGTGATACAATCACCATATGCAGCAGAATTTTTTGTATCTGTGGACGTTGAGGCAGCAACCTTGGCCTTCTCCATGATCCTTTGAACTGCATCTTTTGCACTATCTTTGTCCAAATCCCCTGAAAGCATCAAGCATACACATTAAAATTTTCTGGTTATATTACAACTCCAACGAACTTTATCTGCTGCTTTTCTTCATACTTCGGACATCTTTATCTAGGAAAGAAGAATTTCAGCAACAATATACAATCCAAATGTAAAATATATTTGATAAATTTACGTTATTTTTTTCTCTGTGTTCAATATTAGTTTTTATTTCCCTGGTTGAGCACAATGGATGATGTTAAAATCCAGCCTATAAAAATGAAAATTCATTCAGTTCAAAGTTAAACTAACTACACAAATTTTTTGAAGTGATACCACTTAATTATTGCACTATATTTTGTTTCCAGGTAAAAGAAGATAATCATTCTACTTTATTTTTCAAGTTTAAGTTTGGAGAATTGAAAATAGAGAAATGCAGGGCAGGGAAATTAGTATAGGGCCAAATTTGCAACTTAACTACCTCCTATGCTTTGTTTTGTGGATATTTATCTAACATATTAGTGAACTATGTTTATTTATTTTCTAATGATGTTGCCATAAATTTTCTTACCCTCAAGTTTAATTTGTGGTACCGTTATTCAATGCAGTTAGCTATTAATAGTTATCTTTTAGCTTCTGTTTGGGCTCCATTTTAATTTTAGTACATTTTTATCTTTCTTCTTTTCAATCACATTTTTCAATGAAATAATATTACATGTAAATTCAAAACTTTTCCTTCTTTTTTAACCACACATTCTCCAAAATATCACTATTTCAAAATACATTTTTCCATAAAAGCTAATTTTAACGGAGCCCAAATAGGGGCTTAATTGCTGCCAGTTGACGATGACTGCCATAACATTTTTCTTAACTAGTGTTTTTGGGTGGAAGCTAAACTCATCATAGATTTGAGAAATGATCGTATAGGCCTTTAAAATTCTTCATCAAAGAATTGAACTCCATTTCGACTAGATTATTCATCACAAATTACGATGACAGGTTGAAAATTTTATACGCGTTGATTGACGAAAATTTAATCATAACGATACATAGAGATCATGAAATATTATTATGGACTTTCCTATAGATGTTATCGGACTTAGTAGGAAAATGGAGAATTTCACTTGAATATATACAAAAAGGTTTTAAATTACCTACAAAAATAATTTTATACAAGTTTTATATTAATTTTCTACCCCACAATGCACCATGTTTCTTACTCCATATATAATTTACATATGCACATATAATTCTCTCTTTTCTCATGTGTACTTATTTACGAAAACTATAGTTGATTTTTCTAGCTCAAGACGATAGATTTGTTCTGGCTACTCTAGATTTGAACTGGGGTATAGATTCTAAAGAAAACAAGTCAAATTTTTTCTGACTGTATGGCTTGAATCTACTTTGGCATGCAATTTACCCCTCAGCTTATTAAGGATTGCTATAAGTCATAGAATAAAGAAAATTTTACTGTAACTAATCAAAAGGGAAAGCAATTAGATACTTCGGGTGAAATCAGTGTTGAAGAAACATTTCATAATGATGGAGATCTTTTGATTATTTCTGACGGTTATTTCAAACCCGAAGATGATTGGATTCTTGATACGACTTACACTTTTCATGTGTGTCCCAATCGGGACTCGTTTACAAGATATGAATAAGTTTTCAAAGGTGCTATTGTGATCGTTAATAATATACCTTATGGGATAGCTGATATAGGAAGGGTCAGAATTAAGTTTATTGATGGAAGGGTCAGAACACTTGATGCAATGTGGCATGTTCCTGATTTGAAGAAAAATATTATTACCTTAAGTACGCTTGACTTGAAAGGTTACAATTTCATTGGTGAAGGTAAAATCCTTAAGTACGCAATGTCTAAGCATCGATCGAAGATTACTCTGTCATTTTGCACCGGTATAGTTGTTTAGAAGTCTCATATCCTTCCACACATGATTATTATCATACAACTCTTTGTAATGAAGAATTATGTGTTAACATCTATACTCTCAAGTTGCTTTTGTAACTCAGTGACATAGTTGCAAGTATCATATACGTTGCAGTACTATTATCATCACTGCGTTTACTATAGCAGCCACCTCTTCCTTAATCGAGTCATCACCAGGTGTCTCTGGTAGGGGCTACTCAAGGACGTGACCAACTTTCTCATGCATAAGAACAATTTTCAAATTGCAGTGTCAATTAAGAAAATATAGTTTGGTTGTTGGCATCTAATATGCCATTCAAAACATATGGTTACTCAGATTCAATATAAATGTAAATGACGAAAAGGAAAAGAATAAAATATATAAAATGCATTAATTAATTTAACATAGACTTTTATTAAATTAATTATGCTCCCACTGTTTAAATAAAATTTATGACCCTCTCTTATAAATTTATGGAGTCCATACTTGACTCCCAGTAGGCTGGGATCCCATCTATTATATTAAGACCTTGAGTGTACTCAACAAGCCCTAATATTATATTTGGGTAGATACTATTATCAATTGTATCTCCATACAACTCCCAGATCATTAAGCTGACAACTCTTTGTTTTCACACATCTTATGTGTTAGCTTAACATGCCTCTAAAATTTATCTCCTTGAGTGTACTCAACAAAAGATAAATTTTAGTTAAGTCAAACCCATCATTCAGAAATATCAAATATTTCATAGTGTCAAACATATCCCTAATGGACCAGCCTTGAGTGTACTCAACAAGCTGAGACGATTTGGGACTCTGGTTTTTCACTATAATGATGGAAGGCGATTACAAATGTAACTTAATATTTTATAGAGAGATTTTGCATTTATGAGTCTCATCAACAACAATAAAATCATATATATATTATTATTATACATCTACTATGCAAATATATATATAATAGTGTGGACGATAATGGACTTTTACTATCTAGTCTTCCCGAGCCATAAGGAAGACTAGTTGGTCAATTCCTAGGGGGTATAGCATTGAACAGTGTCAATGCACCATCTCCATGGTCTCCACCTCTTCTTATCTCTTCAATTAGTCCAATTCCAACATGTATCCTATACTAGTTGGCAAGCAGACCTAAATGAAATTGGACTCACAGGCCCATAGTAACAATAATAATAATGGACTCGCAAGCCCAGAACAATTAAGAGCTCGCAGGCCCATAAAACGACAAAATTAAAAAATTAACCATTCAACACATCCATATGGTCGAGTCCATAATCGTCCACTAATAATACATTCATCACATAAATGTATACCTATATAATATCTAATATTATATGCAAATAAGTTTCAAATTTCTAGCAATTAAGTCGTCTAAACTCTTTTAGACAAATGAATTGGAACAATTAAATAATTAATTAATCATATTAATCGATTATTTAAT